TGGAGCTGGAGGGGAGTGTGGAGCGGACAAGGGAGTCACGGAGAGAGTTGTCCCTCCGGAAAGCAGATAAGGGTGGGGAGGGAAAGATGTCTTTGGTGGTGGGGTCGGATTGCAGGTGGCGGAAGTGTCGGAGGATGATGCGTTGGATCCGGAGGTTGGTGGGGTGGTACATGAGGACGAGGGGGATTTTTTTTGGTTCTTATTGCGTGGACGGGGTGTGAGGGATGAGGTGCGGGAGATGTGGGAGACACGGTGTATGTCTAGTTTTATTTCCATTAGTCATGTCCACCACATAACAGTCTGAGTTGCATGTTAGCCATTTTGAAGAACAGTTAAGAATCAACTAAAAATGAAAACAGTTTTGGAAATATTCAGCAGGTCTCAGTATCTGTCGAGAGAAGAACAGCGTTAACACTGAGTCAAGTATACTCCACTTTAGCATTCAAATTTTTCACTTGGCGTGAAATAATTTGATATGTTTGGGGGACGTTATTTACAGTTAGTGAGGGCAGCAAAGGTATTGATACAACAAATATTGTGTCAACAGTTTGCAACGAAAATAAAAATGAAGAGCACATGAGAGGCCAGAGGGAATCTTCCAGATGAAGAGAGATTACTGGAGACAGTAAAAGTCATAGAGCCCTTCTGGCCAAAGAGGTGCATGCAGAGGGGGAAGTAGCAGAGGTGGAAGTACCGAGCTTGAAATTGTTCCACCAATGAATCACACTGGACTCAAAACAGTAACTCTGTTACTTCTCCAAGAATGCTGCCAGACCTACTATTTCCAGCATTTTGCTTCTATTTCGGACTCCTAAAATCATCAGTACTTTATTTTCATTCTTTAAGAATCAACCATATTGGTGCTGGGCTGAAGTAGCACATAGGATAAGGATGGGTCAGGGTTCAGTAAGGATGGGCATCAGTGAACCAGAAAGGTTTCACTTCACAGTTAGATTGTCTTTACCAGCTTTTGATTATAGATTTATTCAATTTAAATACCCCAGCTGCTGTGGCAGAATTAGAACTCCAACCCCAAAGTTCTTCGGACAAACCTAAGAATGTTTAGATGCTTTAAATAACACTTACCAGCAGAGAGCCTTACTCACATCCTCAACTGACTACTCAGACATCATGGAGGTCGTAAGATGCCGGTTAAAACAAAGTTTGCTGTATGTCTAGTTTTATTCCCATTAGTCATGTCCACCACTTAGAAGCATATCTATTCTGCTATCATTTCTGACTGATCAACAATTAAACCAGGAGAGTGCAATCCCATTCAGCAGAACAATGGCATAATCAAATTTATACACAATTAGAACATGAATTTTTTGGAAGTATTATTTCTTCCTAACTAAACAAACAAAAAAACCCAGGATTTTATTGTCTTTTGTTACCAAGTTTTAACAGTCAAGAAAGATGGATAAAGAACAATTTGTGTTAGAAATAGAATTTTGATGTAAACAATGGTTACATATACTGATCATATAAATAAACCAAATTGTAAAGGAATGTCAACCAAACTCTGAACAGAATATTACACATGCAAGCATAACAGTCAGTACAACAGATCTGTAAGCATCAAATATACAAGTTCATAAGCTATGGGGGCAGAATTAGGCCATTCGGTCCATTGAAGTCTGCTCCGCCATTCGATCGTGGCTAATATGCTCCTTACCCCCATTTTCCTGCCTTCTCCCCATAACCCTTCAACCCATTACCAAGTAAAAATCTGTCTAATTCCTCCTTAAATTTACTCACTGTCCCATCATCCACCACACTTTGGGGTAGCGAATTCCACAGATTCACAACTCTTTGGGAGAAGTAGTTTTAAATCTGCTACCCCTTATGCTAAGACTATGACCTCTCATCCTAGAGTATCCCACAAGATGAAGCATCTGCTCCATGTCTATTTTATCTATACCTTCTTTCATCTTGAATACCTCAATTTGATTACCCCCATTCTTCTAAATTCCAGAGAGTATAGGCCTAAACTGTTCAATCTCTCTTCATACGACAAACCCCTCATCTCTGAGATCAATCTAGTGAGCCTCCTCTGAACTGCCTCCTCTGAACTGCCTCCAATGCCACTACATCTTTTCTCAAATAAGAGGACCAAAACTGTGCACAATACTCCAGGTGCATTCTCACCAATGCCTTGTATAGTTGCAACAATACTTTCTTGCCTTTATATTCTATTCCTTTAGCTATAAAAGCCAACATTTCGTTCGCTTTATTTATTACCTACTGTACCTGCATGCTAGTTTTCTGTGACTCATGAACGAAGACACACAGATCCCTCTGCACTGGAGCATACCGAAGTCTCTCCCCATTTAGATAATAGGTCGCATTATCATTTTTCTGACCAAAATGCATGATCTCACACTTATCCACGTTGAACTCTATCTGCCACATTTTGGCCCAGTCTCCTACCCTACTATATCCATTTGTGAGGTTCTTATTTCCTCATTGCAATTTACAGTCCCGTCTATTTTTGATCATCCACAAATTTGGCTACAGAGCCTTCTATCCCTGTATCTAAGTCATTAATGTAGATTGTAAATAGCTGGGGTCCAAAGACCGAACCTTGTGGCATCCCACTATCTACTTCTTGCCATCCAGAAAAGAAAACATTTATCCTGACTCTCTGTGATAAAGATTTCTCTCTGAAAGATACTGATCAGTTTGGGTTCAGTAAGGGTAAAAGGTCAGCCATAGTCCTACCAGACCACAGGGCTGCTCTCTCATTATAGGAAGGTAACTGGTGGTGGTTTATTCTGAGGATCACCACACCTCAGGCAAGGGGAGAGTCCTTCATGGTAATCTCAGCCAGTATGGGAACTGAACCCATGCTGTTGGCATCAATTTGCATTGCAAACTAGCCATCCTGCCAACTGAGCTTACTGACTCTCAAGTTCAGAACTTACCCACTGGATTCGATCTATATTTAATATAATTGTTTGGCATTTTTAACTGAAATATATATTTTATGTTTTGATGATCATTGTAACTTCCCTTGTATGTTAAACTTACAAAAACAATAAAACATAGTCTTAATGGCACTGCTCTAAAGAATACGCAGGGACGGAGGGACCCAGGATGCATTTCTATCAATCTTAGAAGGTAACAGGCATTTTGACAGTTGTTAGAAAGGCTAATGCAAACTTGGGCTTCATAAACAGAGACATTCAATATGAAACCAGGGATGTTTTGCTAAACCTTTATAAAGATCTGGTTACACAATAACTAGTCACAGTATTTATGTCAAGATTCTGGTCAGCACACATTAGGAATAATGCAAGGGTCTCTGAGAGTAGGTGCAGTGGAGATCTATCAGAATCGTTCCTGAAATGAAAGATTTTAGCTACATGGTTGGGCTTGAGATGCTGGGATTGTTCTTTTTTGAGGTTGTTGAGTTGCTCGCCACACTGGCTTTTTCTCGTTCAGACGCGTCATCGCCATGCTAGGTGACATCATCAGTGGAGCCTCCAATGAAGCGGTGTAATTCTACTCCGCTTGGAATTTATACTGTTTGGTCCGTTATGGTGAGTAGTGTCATTTCTGGTTTTGACCAGTATGGATTTATATATGGCGTCCAATTCTATGTGTTTGTTGGTTGCATTACGGGTGGAGAACCATGCCTCTAGGAGTTCCCATGTGTGTCTATGTTGGGCTTCAGCTGCTATGGTTACCTTGACCCAGTTGAACTGATGGCCTTCATTATCTGTACACTCATTGTCTGTACGTTCACCTGTACGTCCGCCAACCTGGTCTACAGTTTCATTGTTCCCGATGTGGTCTCCTCTGCATCAGAGACCAAGCACAGACTTGGTGACCAATACGTGGAGCATCTGCGCTCTGTACGCTATAATCAACAGTACCTTCTGGTTGCCAACCATTTTAACCCCCCCCTCCCACTCCCTGGGTGACATTTCCATCCAGGGCCTCCTTCAGAGCCACAGTGACACAACATGTAAACTGGTGGAACAACATCTCGTATTCCGCCTTAGGAGTTTACAGCCTGATGGCCTCAACATAGAATTCACCAGTTTCAAAATCTCCCCACCCCCAGCCTCATCCCATGTCCAACCCTCCCTCTCATCCCTGCCTTCTTGACTTGACACAACCTGTCCATTTTCTTTCTCACCTATTTGCCCCACCCTTCCCATGACCTATCTCCACAACCTAATACCTGCATCCACCTATTACCATCCCACCTACCTTCCCCCAACCCGACACCCTCCTTCTACTTATTTCCAAGCTCCCTTCCTCCTCCCCAGTCCTGAAAGGTGTAAACTCAAAAGATCGACTTTCCTGTTCCTCTGATGCTGCCTGACGTGCTGTTCCTCCAGCTCCACATTGTATTGACTCTAACTCCAGAATCTGCAGTTCTTGCTGTCTCCGATAGACGTGTGTAAGATTACAACAGGTTTAGATAAGATAGAAAAAGAAAAGTTATTCTAGGAGACACAGATTTAAGAATTTGTGCAAAATATACCAGTGGATATACTGAAGGACTTTTTTTAAAATGCAATGCGTGGTGACGATCTGGAATTTGCTATCCACAAGGGTAGTGGAAATAGAGGCGAAAATGAATTCAAGAAGGTAATTGGGTAATCACTTGAGGAGAAAACTTGCCAGATAATGAACAGGAGAATGATATTCATTGGGTTGCTCTATGGAGAGCTAGCTTGGACCGAATGAGCCAACAGGCTACCTTCTCCACTTCAATGATTCCGTTCCTAATAACTTAAGTTTGTTTCAGGACAATAAATAATCAAATTCATAGATAATTTGAATTAATTGGTTGCAGTCCAAATCGCCATGTGCCCTCCAGTCAGTGAAGATTTGTTTTGGAAAACTGTCAAGTACAGGATGTGATAGAACTTTTATAAAGTATTAAGCGAGAAAACACTCCCGTTTAAGAGAAATTAAATCTAGTAATTAAACAGAATCTATAAATTAACTGCACATTTATTCATGCTTTTGACAAAGAAACTCACCTCGCCTTTCTTCACAGTCATGGACTGTCTCCTGGGAGTGATTTCCTCATTAATGCTTGACAAGAAGTTCTGTGAAATACGGAGGGCATCTTGTAGCAAAGGATGATCTGGGTGACCAACTGGTGTGTGTTTTAATAAATCCTACAGAAACATAAGATAGTCAATTAGACTGTAGGTCAGAACAGAACCAAAGGACATTTCTGCTTGCACATAAGGTAATCCATTGAGATCCAATGTAGATCTCATTAAAATTACCATCAGAATGTGCCAAAAGGGACATCATATATATTGACTACTATATTACAATATAGCCACAGAATATGGTCAACTAGCTCAAGGTGGGGCAAGGGTCAGAGGAATAATGGAAATAGAAGTACACCACCACCCAGATGTTGGAGAGCATGTAAAAATGGAAGCTCAGCTTAGCTTGGAATCAAAAAAAGTGTCAAGGTTGGAAAGGTCTGGATTAAACAAAAACAGTGGGAAGGGCTGGGGAGAGCATATAGCCCGCAGCAAGGGGAAAAGATGAGATCCTCGGTCTTTCCAATTTCTAAAACGAGAAAATGGCACATAAAACAGACAATGTTGTGCAAATACTTTAACAGCAGAGAGGTACTGGAGGAGTACAGAGAAAATGAGAGACAGATAGTGAAGAAATAGGATATGTGGAAAATGATCCATTTGTAGGTGATGTTAACAAGTTACAGAACATGAATGTGGAAGGAGGGTTAAGGCTGGATCCTTAGGGTTTTGATGTATACTTGTGTGAAGGCAGGAAGCAAAGCCAATTCTGGGGATCCTGTGATTGATGCTGAATTGGTAAAAAAAAAAAAGTCGTAACCATTCCATTCTTGGGCCATAATTTTATAGGAACAAGACAGCAGGTGTTGAGATTTTGATTTCTGGAGTTCCACTAAGAATTACTGGACAATATAAGTTCAAAGAAAACTAATGAATGGAAGGAGGAATATGTCAGCTGGAATCGGGGTGGAGGAGTTCAGTATAGAATCAGAGAATCCCTACAGTGTGGAAAGAGGCCATTCAGCCCATCAGGTCTGCACTGACTCTCCGAAGAGCAACGTACCCAGACTCAGCCCCCCACGCTATCCCCATTATCCCACTTTTACCACAGCGAGCACACCTAGCCTGCACATCCCCGAACATTATGGGATAATTTAGCATGGCCAACCCACCTAACCTGTACATATTTTGAGAGAGTGAGAGGAAACTAGATCATCTGGTGGAAACCAACGCAAACACAGGGAGAATGTACAAGCTCCACACAGACAATAACCCAAGGATGGAATCAAACCTGGATCCCTGGCACATGAGGCAGCAGGGATAACCACTGAGCCACCATACCACCCAGTCATAGGCTGTTCCTAATTGTTATTGGTAATATATTTCATATGCACATGGTTTTTGAAGTTGGTTGGCTTGTCGAGCTGGTTTGTTGTTCCGCAGACATTTCGTTACCATGCTGGGTAACATCATCAGTGAGGCCTCCGATGAAGTGTCAGTGTGTTTTCCTGCCTGGTTTTTAAACTCTGGAGTCTGTTGAGCTGGATTGCCTCACTTCCGGTTTTCCTTCATAGTGGAGTGTACATGGGGTCGAGTTCTATGTGTTTATTAATGGCTCGTGGAGTGCCAGGCTTCTAGGAATTCCCACGCCTGTCTCTGTTTAGCTTGTTCCAGGATTTTGGTGTTGTCCCAGTCGAATTGGTGGTTCTCCTTATCCATGCGGATTGAGATGAGTGAGTACTGGTTGTGTCTTTTTGTAGCCAGTTGGTGTTCATGTACCTTTGTTGTTAGTTTCCTTCCTGTTTGTCCGATGTAGTGTTTCTCACAGTCTCTGCATGGGATCTTATAGATGACAGATGTCCTGTCCATGGCGGGGAATGGGTCTTTAGTTCGGGTGAGCAGTTATCGTAGGGTTGATGTGGGCTTGTGTGCCACTCTGATGCCCAGCGGTTGTAGGAGTCTTGTGGTTAGTTCCGATGTGCTCCTGATGTAGGGTAGTGTGATGAGTGTGTTGGGGCGTGTAGTATCTTCCTGATGTTGTTTGTGTAGGCATCTTCTGACCCAGCTTTTTGGATATGCATTATCCTTGAAAACGTGGAAGAGGTATTCTTCTTCCTCTTTGCCTAGTTCTGTGTTGCTGTAGTGTGTTGTTGCCCGTTTAAATAGTGTTTGCACGCAGCTTCGTTTGTGTGTGTTGGGATGGTTACTGTTGAATTTTTTGACACATGATTTTTGGCACAATGCTTTAACAGAAGACGACAGTACCATTGCCTACTTACAAAAAATTAACCCTATCAGCCTTCGCATAATTCTGGTGAATCTATAAAGCCTTGTATCCCTGAAACATGACTTTTAGCCCCTTGTATTCTCATTCTCCAGATATAAAAGCCAACATTTCATTATCCTTGTTGATTACAAAATTTGCTTGACAGTAGAACACAGAGGGTGGTGGTAGAGGGTTATTTTTCAGACCGGAGGCCTGTGACCAGCCGTGTGCCACAGGGATCGGTGTTAGGTCCACTATCATTCATCATTTTTCTAAACGATTTGGTTGAGAATTTAGGAGCTACGGTTAGTAAGTGTGCGGATAATACCAAGATTGGTAGAATAGTAAGTTTGCGGATAATACCAAGATTGGTGGAATAGTGGACAGTGAAGACGGTCATCTCGGAATGCAGTGAGATCTTGATCAACTGGGCCAGTGGGCTGAGGAATGGCAGATGGGGTTTAATTTAGGTAAATGCAAGGCATTGCATTTTAGTAGGTCAAACCAAGGGAGGATTTGACTTATAAAATTCTAACAGGACTAGACAGGGAGGATGTTCCCGATGGTGGGTGTGTCCAGAACCAGGGGTCACAGTACCAGGATTCAGAGTAGATGATTTAAAATGGAGATGAAGAGACATTTCTTCACCCAAAGAGTGGTGAGCCTGTCGAATTCATTACCGCAGGAAGTAGTTGATGCCAAAACATTGAATGTATTCAAGAGGCGACTACATATAGGCACTTGGGGCGAATGGGATCAAAGGTTATGGGAATAAAGCAGGATTAGGCTATTGAGTCGGACGATCAGCCATGATAGTGAAGAATGACACAGCAGTCTTGAGGAGCCTAATGGCCTTTTTCTGCTCCTATGTTTCTATGTAGGACTTACACAGTCAATGGTAGGGCCCTGGGGAAGGGGGACAATGGCCTGGTGGTATTATCGCTGGACTGTTAATCCAGAGACCCGGGTAATGTTTTGGGGACCTCGGTTCAAATCCCACCACTGCAGATGGTAGAATTTGAATGCAATAAATATATGGAATTAAGAGTCTAATGATGACCATGAATCCATTGCCGTTTGTCGGAAAAACCCATCTGGTTCACTAACGTCCTTCAGGGAAGGGAACTGCCTTCCTTACCTGGTATGGCTTACATGTGGCTCCAGACCCACAGCAATGTGGTTGACTTATAACTATCCTCTGGGCAATTAGGGATGGGCAATAAATACTGGCTAGCCAGCGACACCCTCATCCGGTGAACGAATTTAAAAAAATGTTATAGAACAAAGAGATCTAGGAGTACCGGTTCATAGCTCCTTGAAAGTAGAGTCAAGGGCAGACAGGGTGGTGAAGAAGGCTTTCAGCATGGTTGCTTTCATCGGTCAGAGCATTGAGTCTCGGAGTTTGGACATCTTGATGCAGTTGTACTGGATGTTGGTGAGGCCGCATTTGGAAATCTGCTGAGCTTTTTCCAGCATTTCTGTTTTTGATATGTTTGTATAAAATTGTTTTGGCTCATAGTACTGCCTTTGCTTTAATGTTTATCACTGACTATAAATGAAGAACACTGGCAATAAAGTGAAGTAATGTCAAATTATCAATTTATTGTAAACCACTGCTGTACTCACATGGAGAACAAGTGTGCTTCGGGTGACACGGTCAACAGGTTTATACAGAAGAGCTGGAGAAAGAGAGAACAGTAAAATAAGCAAGATTTTCAAAACAGTCAAAACTTAAGAAAAATAAATCCTTGAAATACAATTTCTCACCTATCTTACTTAACAATTCTATTTTTCTTCAACCTTTCGTTTTCCAATATTCATCCCTCCTGTAACTGAAATACCATTTCAGAGGCATTGAAACCTCTGGAATCTCAACATTCATTCATGTATGTGTCAAGACAAGAATATTGGCAAGTTATCTGACAAATTTATTACTGCCCATCACCTAGGAGCTACACGTGCACATTGTGCAGTACACTGTAGGAAGCAGAAATACTAGCAAACTGCAGTACAGTCTGAAGGAAGCAAAAATTTCAAGTAAATCACAGAATCACATAGTACTGAAGAGGTCCTTCAGCCCACTGAATCCGTACCGCCAAAGATATAATACCTATACTGTGCCACTTTCCCACACTAAGCCAATAGTCTTGAATGTTATGACACTTGAATGTGAACCCAAGTGTGAGGTTTCCCACCTCAACAACCACCCCAGGCAGTACATCCCAGATCCCAACCACTCTCTGGATGAAAAAAGCTTTTCCTCAAATTCCCTTTAAACCTTTCACCTTTCATTGTAAAATCATGCCCATTTGTTATTGACTAAGGGGAACAGTTGCTTTTTATTCACCCTGTCCATGTCCTCATAATTTAACCTATTTGAACCATTTCAACACCTCTGCTCAAAAGAAAACAATCTGAACTTTTCCAGCAAAATCTTCATAGCTGAAATGCTCCATCCTGGGCAACATCCTGGTGAATCTTCTTTGCACCCCCTCCAGGGCCATCACATCCTTCCTATAGTGTGATGACCAGAACTGCACATAGTACAGCAGCTGTAGCATAACCAAAGTTCTGTACAGCTCCAATATGACCTCCCTGCTCTTATAATCTATGCCTCAACTGACATGCCTTGCTAACTACTACACAAAACTGTCCTGCAATCTTCAAGGATCTGTGGACAAGCACCACAAGATCCTTCTGATCTGGAGTTTCTTAGTGTTTTGCCATTCACTAAGTACTCCCTTATCTTGTTCTTTCTTCCAAAGTGTATCACCTCACATTTTCATTTATATCCTCCTAACATGTTCCTCCACACCATCATTCACCTAGCCACTCTTTGTGTGATCTGCAAACTTGCTTATCATTCCACCCATATTCTCATCTACATCACTTATGAATATCACAAAAAATAAGGAACCCAGCACTGATCCTGCACTTAGCCACTGCACATAGTGCTCCAGTTACACAAACAGCCTTCTACTATCTACTACTATCATGCGTCTCCTATCACTAAGCCAATTTTAGATCTAACTTGCCAATTCATGAAAACATCCAGTAACTGGCACCAGCTTTCTTACTTTTTACCACTTTGGAATATCAGTAGTGAATATATTTGAGCAGAAAGTTTCCATATGGTGTCACTATTTGAAGGTTACGATTTAAAGAAACCAAGAAAGACAGCACCAGTACCTAGTGTCAAAATGCTTCCAAAAATGAAAATCAAATTTAATAATCATTACTTTCCATTTGTCCCAATCAAAAATACTGGAATATCCTACCTTCCAGAGAATTCTTAGTGCTTTGATCTTTCAAGTCTTTTGTACTCCTGACTTTTAAATTCTGAAATAAAAATAACAATAAGCTTTTAACAATTAGAAACTTTTAACTTTAACAAGATTGGCAGAAGCAGACAAGCATCTGTCAGAAAGGTAGTGAATTTCTGGAGCGTGTCCAGGATAGTTTCCTACAACAATATGTCCTTGATGCAACAAGAGGACAAGCAAAATTGGATTTAGGAACCAGTAATTAGCCAGATTAAATCAGTAGCTTAATTGTGCATGAATACTTATGAAGTAGTGAGCATAGTATGAACGTGTTCAATGTAGCTTTTGCAAGTGAAAAGCATAAATCAACTATTACAGTTTTAGATTTAAGTAAGGCTGACCTTAATGAGATGAAACAGACACTGTCCACAGTAAACGAGGAAAATCTGCTAATGGGTAAAACAACTAAAGAACAGTGGAGGATGTTTAAAGAAACATTTAACACAGTACAAACTAGTTTATACACCTGAGAGGGAAAAACTCCACTTCATAGAAAAAAAAAAGCCAAGGACAACTAAGGAAATAAGGAACAGCATAAAAGTAGAAGAAAGGGATTACAAAAATAGAAAAAGCAGTCACAGATCCCACACTGAATGGAAAGATACAAAGACCAGCAAAAGGCCACAAAGCAGTTTATAAGAACTACTAAAAGGAATTATAAAAGGAAACATGCCAGGGACATTACAATCAAAAAGAAGAAATTTCATAGCTACATCAGGGAAGGCAGAGGTCAGGAGCAATAAGACTGAAGACTGAAAGATGGGGATATTGCCAATGGCTACTGGGAGTGGCAGACATGTTGAATAATTACTTTGCCTCAGTACTTAGAGTAGAAAAGGAAGATAGTCACAGGAAGTCACAAGAAATTAACAGTGGATCGGGAACAGGGGCTGAATAAAATTAACATAAGTAAAACATTGGTAATTAAAAATGTGAGGAAATTAATGTAATGGAAGAGCAACAAGTCCCTGGGACCTGATGGTTTCCATCCAAGGCTGTTAAAGGAGATAAAGGAGCACATTTTAGATGCCCTAATTATAATTTTTCAGAGTTCCCTAGATAGAAGACTCAGTTTTCTGGATTGGAAAATTGCAGCTGTCACTCTTCCTTTTCACGAAGGCAAAAGGCGAAAATGAGGCAATTACAGACCAGTTAGCCTAACATCTATGGTGGGGAAATTGTTGGAGTATATAATCAAGGATATACATTATCAAAGGGGAATGGAACACCTTAAAAATTTTCAATTAATCAGAGCCAGCATAGATTCATGACAGCTAGGTCATACCTGAAAAATCTTACTGAATTTTTTTGAAGAGGTGACTTAGGGTAGTAGACAAGAGAATGTCTATGAATGTTGTTTATATCGATTTCTAGAGGCATCTGATATAGTCTCACAGAAGAGACTGTTCACCAAGGCAGAAGTCCAGGGAATTGAGAGCAAATTATTGACATGACTGGGAAATTGGTTACATGGCGAGTGAGAGAGTAGGGACAATGTAGCTACTCAAATTGGCAGGATGTGACCAGTGGCATCCCATGAGGATCTGTGTAAGGGCCTATATTATTCACATTATTTATTAATGACTTGGAAAGTGGCAGAGAAAGTCATATATCAAAATTTGTTGATGACACAAAGTTAGACAGCATTGTAGGCAGTGTAGATTACAAAGTGATATTGATAGACTAATCGAACGGGCACAACTGTGGCAGATGGAGTTCAATGTAAGCAAGTGTGAGGTTATCCATTTTATACCAAAAAAGGAGAGTTCAGGGTACTTTCCAGGTAGTACGAAGTTAAATACAGTTGATATCCAAAGTGACTTGGGGGTTTAGGCACATAGATCTTTAAAATGCCACGAAGAGGTGAAGAAAATAGTCAAGAAAGCTAAAGGAATAATGATCTTTATATCTACAAGACTGGAGTATAATGACACTGAAGTTATGCTGCAGTTATACAAAACACTGCTTAGGAGTACGTGAGCACCACACTTTTGGATGGATATATTCACCATGGAGGGAGTACAATGTAGGTTTACAAGAATTATACCTGGACTTCGGAGGTTATGAGGAGCTATCAAACAAATTTGGCCTGTTGTCTCTAGAATTTAAAGGTTAAGGGAGTGACCTGATTGAAGTCTTCCAATATATTAACAGTAAAAGATAACAGGGTAGATAAAGATAAACTATTTCCACTGGTTGTGGATTCTAGCACTTAGCATTCAGTGATTGTAACGAGGTCAGACTGGTGGACCTCACAAAATGAGTTTTGTGATTAGGGCACATTGGTCATCCAGGGGTTTTGAAAATGGAGATGTTGGCGAGCAGTTGTGTGTGGAGGCCAAGACTGAATGCAGACATAGCTGCGTTGGTGGGGCACTGCCCAGAGCTCCAGCAAGGACAAAGTCATAACCAGCAGCTCCGCCACATTCATGGGAATGGCCGGGGGAACCCTGGACTTGGTTACACTTCGACTGTGTAGGTCCTTTCATGGGCTCAATGTCCTTAGTCATTGTGGATGCCCACTCAAAATGGCTAAACATGCATAGAGTTCATTCGTCAAACACGGGGACAACAGTAGAAAAACTGTGTGCATCTTTTTCAATACATGGGCTCCCGAAAGTGTCAAAATGTTGAAAAACACAACAGATAATGGGCTATTGTTTACCAGTAGGGAATTTGAGTATTTCCTAAAGTCGAATGGTATTCAACGTATAAGGACTGCTCCATACGATCCATTGTCCAGTGGCCTGGCAAAAAGAGCAGTCCAGACTTTGAAGGCAGGCTTAAACAGCCCACGGCTTCGCTAGAAACCAAACTGTTCCAGTTCCTGTTTGATTATAGGACTACCCCTCATGCAATGGCAGGGATAGCTCCAGCAGAGTTCATAACAGAGAGAAGACTCCGCACCAGGTTAAGTCTGATCTTTCCAGACCTGAAGAGAGGGAATGGGAGGTTGCCGAAGCTGCATCAGGAACGCCAATGCCAGGCACAAGACTCTGCTCAGCAAGAGAGACAGTTTACTTTGGAACGAAGTTTGGTGAAGGACCCATAGGAATGGCCCTGCATGGGTGAAAGGCATGGTCAATGCGAAGTCAGGTCCAGTGACGTATGAAGTTCAGGTAGATGCAACAGTCCTGAACAGGCACATGTACCATATGACAATTGCGAACTCACAAACGGTGCAGGAGCAAGAAGTGCACGGCTCCTCAACTGCCTTTCCAACTGTTCCAGAACCTGTAGGGTTCTGTCAGGCTCTCTCCGTCAAGCATTAAAGATACCTCAGAATCTGAGATGGACACGGTGGATGTTGCTGCCTCGACCCTTTTGCGCATAAGGAAGAGAGTGAATTTCTTCCGAGATGCTCTGGGTGCAACAGCCGAGCTACTGTGCATTACAGGCCAACAGTATCAGAGGCTGAGTTGGAGGAATCTGACCCGGTGCTAAAACTCCCCAGGAGGTGCTACAAAAAAATAGAACTGGCCAATGTCCTTGGACTTAGAATGAGGGATATAGTAATTGTAACGAGGTTGGCCACGTGGGACATACAATATGAGTTCCCTGATTGGACCAGATTAACAGCCCCAATCAGGGAGCCCTGGCTGACAGGTAAGAACAGGAGTGTCAGACATCCTGTTCATGCTGAAACCTGGCTCTGAAGGAGCTGGCTCAGTATCAAGGACTCTCCACATGTAAATAAAGGATGACTTGGTGACGGGATATTGGCCTCTGTGGACTTCTTACAAGGGGCACTGTCTGCTAATTAGGGCCCGATCGTTCAGGAGAGATGTTAGGAAGTACTTCTGCACACAAAGGTGGTTGAGTTTTTTTTTTAAGAATCCCTATAGTGTAGAAACAGGCCCTTTGGCCCAAGTCCACCCAGATCCATCCTCCTATAAAGCCACCTAATCTACACACCCCTGAACACTATGGGCAATTTAGCATAGCCAATCCACCTAGCCTGCACATCTTTGGACTGGGGAGGAAACCGGAGCACCTGGAGGAAACCCACGCAGACATGGGGAGAATGTGCAAACTCCACACAGTCGTCCGAGTGTGGAATCGAACCCGGGTCCCTGGCGCTGTGAGGCAGCAGTACTAACCACTGAGCCACCGTGTGCCCCCTAATTTGATTTATTATCCTTGTTTGGAACTCTCTTCTACGAATGGCAGTGAATGTTGGATCAGTTATTAATTTTAAATCTGAGAAAGACAAATTTTTGTTAAGCAAAGGTATTAAGGGATATGGGCCAAAGGCAGGTTTATGGAGTTAGGCCACAGATTCACCATGATCTCATGGAATGATTCAGTAGGCTCGAGGGGCTAAATAACCTATGTTCCTACATGAAAAAGCATTATAAAATGGGTAAAGAATTAATACGAGAAAGAAAAAATAGAAACCATAACAAGCATTAATAAGTACTATTCATGGATGAAGAGTAGGAAAGCATGCAGCGTTGATAGTGAGGTGTCAACCCAGCGAAGCTAGAACACAGGTTTACACGTATTCTAAACAGTGGACGCAACATGTTAAATAAAGTTAAACAAACCCATAACCACTGATTTGATTTGATTTCATTTATTGTTATCACACGTACCGTGATATCGTGAAAAGTATTGTTTTGCGTGCTATTCAGGCAAATCATGCCTTACATTAATTACATCAGGGTAATAGAACAGAATGCAGAATATAGTGTTGCACTGACAGAGAAAGCTCAATTTTAATATATGAGAGACCTATTCAACAGTCTGATAACAACGAGGAACAAATCGTCCTTGAATCTGCTGGCACATATTTTTAAACTTTTGTATCTTTTGCCCAACGGAAGAGGGTGGAAGAGAGTATAACAAGATGGGGCAGTTCAAAATGCTGCAGTCCTCACACAATTAAATGTGAATGGTGGTGGGCAATAAAACAACCAACAGAGGAGGAGGTTCCACAGAGATGTCCATCCCCAAAATTGAAACAGCCCAGTGTATATCAATGCAAAACTAAAGGTTGCATTTGCAACCAACTTC